GAGAGTGATGCAAAAGAATCATGAAAAAAGAGTCAACAACTTGGTAAAAGAAGCACAAAAAATGGAAAAAGATGTACAAAAAAATCACTGAAAAAAAACCCGACTCCTTAAAAAGTAGAATTGGTCAAATGGAAAAGGATGTACTTAAAAAATTAGACTGCACACAAAAATAAATACTGGTGAATATAAAACTACACGAAAATTTCTCACCTATGATTATACAAGCCTGAGAGGTATATTAGTCTCTTTTCCATAGAATGATCTTTTTTCCCCTCTAAACTGAGGACAAATTTTCATTTTTCCAATAAATAAAATACAAAATAGCCTTAATTAACATAAAAGCATGCTGCTAATGTAATAAAAATATGGGCATGAAAGTAAACATTGTTCTCTGTTTGCAAGTTGTTGTTGATTGTCCTTCATTTTCAAAAAGGACCAATGATATCACGGGGTGATGTCTTGACTTGCCTGTGAATTGGATTTAAGTTAGGTAGAGTTGCATCAGGTTGTCAGCCTCTCTCTTTTCCTGAGTCATCAAAGTTCAGTGGCAGGACAAAAGTCAAGGCAACTGGTGATAGCCTGAGATGCAGTGGATGACCATGGAGTTTTCAATTTCTGACCAAGCTTTAAGGGCTCTCCAGCCTCTGCTTCAGCAGCCTTCACAGTCATTGGAACAAATTGTTCTCATTTGCCCATTCAGCAATGGGACGTCTTCACATGCTTGGGGTAGATAGCTCCCTCACTCACCAACAAGTTTGAGATTTGTCGGTTACCCTCAACCTGGTTTAGCACAAACTGAGACAGTTTACCCAAGTGTGGCCACCATGCATGTTACAGTTTCTTGGAGCCACAGGTGAGAATTTGGTGAATCAGGTAAACACCAAAGGTGGATGAGTTGCCCTGAAAAGATCTTGGCAAGCTTCACAAGTATTATTTTTATTTCATTTTCTCTAATTCAAAATAATTCAAACTATGGAAACCCTTTCTGGGCTCTGGATAACTTGTGACTTGTGGACTATTAGGAGCACTGGCTCTTTTCACTCCAATTTCATATCACTCTGTGTTAACTAAAACAAACTTAATTTCCCTGGGTCTTTGTTTACTTACCTGAAGAATGGGACAGTATTCCATATGGTGTTAGGAGACTATTTTGAGGGTCTATACTTTCATTGATATAGGCACCCCTCTAGGAGACCATATGTTGTCTAAGATCTCTTCCATTTCAACGAGAGTTAACTCATCCTCCTGTGGATTAGTCTACTTTGTGAATAAATAAATCATTAATCCCAAATTAGTTACCATTACTCTAGTTTAGGATCTACCTTACATTGCTGCTGTATGATTAGAGAAAGTAAACTGGAATCTGGCATGGTGGAAAGAGTCATAGATTTGGAATCAGAAATCCTGGATTTTTTTTTTTCATCTCAGCTGCTTGTAAACTGTGTGACCATGACCATAAATTACTTAACTTCCCTGAGCCTCTGTATAGAATGAGACTAATACTTAAACTACTTCATGAAAGTGATTTGTAATTTCATTTAAAACTGTCTATTCTTATCCTATGAAGACATCATTGGGGAATGGCTCTTGTTCTTATGAGAAAGCAGATTCAGTTGAGTGGCGAGATTAAAAGTTACCTTGCAATGTCACAGGCCCTAGGAACACAAAGTCACTTTAATGAGACTATAATTGATCAAAAGATATCTGTCTAACCATTCACACAGCAAAAACAAAGAGAATGCAAAATACTTCATATTAACTGGATTACAGCATACAGATGGACCAGTATAATAGGAGCAACATCTGGTTGGGACTCATGGCAGTAAAAATGGAAGGTCACATAGATTAGTCTTTTTCCCAAAAAGGCAATGAAACTGTCCTCAAGACTTAATTGGTCCAGGGCACTAAGGCTCTAAGGTGCTAGATGTAGCTTCATCGTTATCTAGTGTCTCATTTTATTCCAAAATCCTGGCCTGAGTCAGGCTTGGCTTCAAACAGGCAGGGGGAGCGGGTGTGTTTGGAGAAGGGGAGTGGGAGGAGATAGACTTGTTGCTTTCCACACCAAGAGGAGGAATACCCACATTTATAGAGGATTCATTTATTCAACAAACATTTAGCAATCATGATATGGTTTAACATCTCGCTAAGAAAGTACTGGGTATAATACAAAGATAGAAACAGTCCCTGCCATCTATCAGGGTAAGGTTATCCACATATCTGCTTTTTTTTTCCAGTAATATAAATTTGTATATAAAAGGGAATTAAGACTTGTTTCCTTAACATTTGAGGCCTCTATAGCATACAAGAGCATCAAAAATTGTGGCTAATGGGTGGTGTAGTGGATTTGATGTTAGGAAGGCTGAGTTCAAATCTTGCCTCAGATTCTTACTAGCTGTGTGACCCTAGGGCAAGTGACTTTATCTCTCAATCTCCTCACCTATGAAGATATAATAAAGTTTTGCAAACCTTAAAGTCATATAAATTCTACCTAGCAAATATGCCACTGGAACATAACACTCAGTCATTAAGAAGCATTACAGGGGGGCAGCTAGATGGCATAATGGATAGAGCACCGGCCCTAGATTGAAGTGGACCTGAGTTCAAATCCGGCCTCAGACACATAACACTTACTAGCTGTGTGACCCTGGGCAAGTCACTTAACCCCATTGCCTAACCAAAAAAAAAAGAAGCAGCAGCAGCATTTCAGGGTGGAGACTGCCATCTTTCTAGGTTAGGGAAGAAAGAATATTGTTTCTGTTCATCAAGGGAGATAGGGTCAAGACTAGACTTCTCTACAATTCTTACTATTTCCAGAAACCAAGGGAAAGTGAGAGAGTACAAGGGACTGCAGTAGGCAGAAAGTCTGCTTATTTAAAGAGGAGTAGCGATTGGCAGCCTTATCAAAGAGCTGCCCTCTTAAACTCACAAGCCAAGCTATCAGTAACCTTGCTAACCAGATTAACTACAAATTTATGTAACCTCAACTGGGTTCTCACTGTGTGAAGCAATCCATTTAAACTTTCCTAATTGACTCACCATTCCCATTCACCACAGAGGCTTTCCCAAAACTCTCATCCCTTCTTCACATCTTCCAGAGCTCCGCCTCTCCCCTCATATTTCACTGCAAAAAAAAAAAAAACTGCTCCCTCCTCCTCTGTTCCTCATGTCATATTACTCAAATTCTTTGTGCCCCTATCTCCTCCCTCATCCCTATCTCACATGAAGAGGGAACCTTTCTGCTTGCCAGGACAAGCCCTTTTGCATACACAAGTGATCCCATTTCATCCTGTCTTCTCCAGCAGATGACTCCTTCTGTCATTGCATGCCCACTCTCTCACTTTTCTTCAGTCTCTCCCTGTCTGTTGGCTTCTTCTCTACTGCCTACAAACACATCCATAACATGTCCATATCTCTCTCATCATCAAAAAACCCTCTCTTGATCTAGCCGTGCCTATCAACCACCGTCCTCTTGCTTTCCTCCCTTTTGGGACTAAATTCCTTGTTAAGGCTGTCTACAGTCAGTGTCTCCACTTCCTTTCCTCTCATTCTATTATCTATTTCCAACCTTCCTAACTCATCATTCAACTGAAACTGCTCTCTCCCAAACTACTTACTAACAATCTCTTAGTTGTCCAATCTAATGGCCTTTTCTCAATCCCCATCCTTATTGACCTTTTTGCAGCCTTTAATACTACGGACCACTCTCTTCTATTTGATAAGTTCTCTCTAGGTTTTCATGATGCTACTTTGTACCAGTTCTTCTAGCTATCTGACTGCTCCTCAGTCTCCTTCATCCTGGTCACACCCTCTAACTATGAGTGTGTCCCTCAAGGCTTGGCCCCTATTTTTTTCTACCTCTATATTATTTAACTTGGTGATCTTATCAGCTTCTATGGATTTAATTATCTCTATGTTGATGATTTTCAAATCTACTTCTCTAGCACTAACCTGTCTTCACAGTCTCACATCTCCAGTTGCCCATGAGATATCTTGAACAGGATGTCCAGTAAACATCTTAAACTCAACATGTCTGCAACTGAACTTATCTTTTTTCCCAACTTTTCTCCCTTTCAAATTTCCTTATTATGGGCAAGGGCACTACCAAGCTGGAAACCTAAGAATCATCCTCAACTCCTCACTATCTCTAACCCCCTCTATCCAATCTGTTACCAAGGATTGTCGATTTCACCTTTGCCACATCTCTCCTCTTCTGACACTGCTACCACTTTCCACCAGGTTCTCATCACCTAACTCCTTGTACTATTGCAATAGCCTGCTAGTGGATTTGCCTGCCTCAAGTCTCTCCCTACTCCATTCCATCCTCCATTCAGACACTAAAGTGATTTTCCTAAAGTGCAGGACTGATCATGTCACACACACATACAGCCCCTACTCCAGTATACTCCAGTGGTTTCCTATTGCCTGCAGAAGCAAACACAAAATGCTCTGTTTCATATTCAAAGCCCTTCATGACCGAGCCCCCTCGTTCCTTTCCAGTCTTATTATACCTTACACCGCCCCCCCACTTCCCCACCCCCACACACTCCCCTTCTACTCTATGGTTGTTCCTTGATTAGGAAACTCCATCTCGCAGACTTCCGACATTTTCTCTGGTTGTCCCCCATCCCTGCAGTGCTCTCCCTCCTCTACTTGGACAACTGATCTCCCTGGCTTCTTGCAAGTCCTAGCTAAAATCCCACCTTCCAAGGAACCTTTTCCAATCCCTCTTAATTCCAATGCTTTCCCTGTTATGTCCAACTTATTTTAAGTGTGACTTGTTTGTACATAGTTGTGTTTGCATGTTGTGGCCACCATTAGACTGCGAGACCCTGTCTATGACCCCTCCTTTTATATCACCAGGGTTTAGCACAGCGCCAGGCACATGGCAGGCTCTTAATAAATTTGCATGGACCAAGGGACAGAATGACAGCCCCCGCTAGAAGCCACTCCCTGGTCAGGCGGCTACCCAGCTAGACGCTGCTGAACCGGAAGCGCACAAGCTGGCTCCGCCCCTTCTCACGCTTAGCTTCCTCCGCAGCAGGGGCCGGTCACGCTCACTCCAGATCTCTTTCTGCAGCCATCTTGGATCCGTGTTCCTCTCACAGTAAGTGCCGACTCTCCCGCCGCTTTCTATCCGCCGCCATCCGCCTCCCCCGAGTGCCAGGCCTCCCCCTCTGCCACCGGGGACGGAGCTAAGGAGATCCGGGAGCTCGGCGGAGTCCCTCGGGACGCGGGGGACTGCGGGAGGGGGGCTAGCCTGGGGCCCCCGGACAAAATGGGGTCTGCAAGGCCTTCGTACGGCCGGGGGGAGGGGTGTGGGAGGGGGAGAAGAGGCTTCGGAGCGGGAGCCGCCCCCGCCCCCATGGCGTGTGCTGCGCGGCCGTTGAGGCGCGGTGGGAGCAGGGGACCCGCGCCCGGGCGGGTCACGGAGCGGCCGCGGACCTGTGGGTCGGCGGGCAGGCCGGAGCCCCTGAGACGTTGACGGGAGTCGCGGGTTGCCCCCGATCCTTGGGGGCCGCTTTGGGGCCCGGACCTCGCGCTCGGTCGATGCTGGCCCCGATTGGGAATCGGCGGGCTGCGGGGGCAGCCGAGGGAGGGGTTCCCTGGTAACTCGAGGTCTCCTTTCCCCGCAGAAATGCCCGGCGAAGCGACAGAAACCGTCCCAGCCACAGAGCAAGAGTTGCCACAGCCCCAGGCTGAGACAGGTAGGTTCCCCCCCCCCCCGGTCGATTCACTATAAGGTTGGTTGACTGAACAGTCTTAGGGGATCAAGTGACAAGGGGGGGGTGCGGGTGGAGGGGGCAACAGGGCCGTCTGATGTAGCCTGACTTTTTGATAGATCTAGTTGGAGTTAGGGTAGTTCTTGAGCATCACTTTTATTATTAAAGTTCTCAGTTCCCCCATGGGACTATTTCTGTGGGTACATCTATTTCCGAAAAGGAGCTGTTGTGACCCCTCCCCCACAAGGAAATTGAACAGGTTCCAGAGATTCTCCCCCTGCTGGAAGTGGCCGACACACAGACCGGCTGAAGAGACCCGGAGCTTGGGTGAAGCTCCAGCCAGGAAGTTGCATCAAGGTTTTAGATGTCATTTGGCATTGTGCCTTGCGTCACATGTCTGGATTAGATGCTCACAAATGGTGAGAGAGCCCTAGTGGGCCTTGGAGTTCTCATTTGGGATGATGTGTCCCGGGATTAGTGCTGTGAATCGGTTTTTATTGTGTTGCAGCAACATTTTCTGCAGATGTTACCTAATGAAACTTTGGGTCCTGATATCTAATGAGCCCAATAAAGTTGCTTTTTTCTTTACTTTTCAGTCTGTAAAGACAGGTGTGTTGCTGTATGGGAGGTGAAGGCTAAAGAAATTGGAATGAGTGGTTTGTGATTAGGCTGAGTGAAGTGCATCCTGCTTCTCATGCCTGCAACTTATTACCTCTATTTCACATTCCTTGATTTAAAACGAGCCTCTTTTTTGGTTAAAAAATGGTCATATCGTCCTCTAGCCAATAGTGGCTTACACAATGAGCTCTTTGGGCGTATGGTAAAATTCTCCCTCTCCTCCAGTTTGACTTTCAACAGCTGAAGGGGATTAAATGCAGCTGCCACCATGCCAGGGAAGAAAAGCAGGGTCTTTGGTTGGAACGGGACAGGGAAGACTTATGAGAAGATAAAATGATTTCAGTGTTTCTCAGAAGAATCAGTCTAATATAATTTTCTACTGGCCTTTAAATGTCACTATAGAAGCATATGATGGAGTCCAAGGCACTTCTGAAATCTGAGCTGTCAAGTTCAGTGTTCCTCAAATTTTTAGTTATTCTGACTCCCATTCATTAAGAGAGAAAACTGACTTCTAGTTTTCTTGCCCATGGACAGGATTTTCTGTCCCAGTTGTTATTGTTCTTGACCAGCCTTAATTCTAATGTGAAGAGACTTAAGTTGGAACAATAGGTTTTCAATGTTGAGGGGTGCCAATAACCTGTGAACTGTGACTTTGCATGACTAAACAGTGCAGGCAAAATCACTGAAGTGAATAACCCAGGTATCCAGAGACAGTATTACTGGTCAGATTTCAAGCTAAAGCAAGAGTTGGGCATTTTCTTGTGTGGGGTTTCTGTCTTGTATTCCTATTGGATGTGCACATATCTCAATTATAAGCCTATAAGCTTTGAACTGCAGGTTTTCGAGAGAGGACTGGTTAAAACATCCTATTTTTGTACAGGAACTTTGGGGTTGAGTTGAATATATATATATATATGTGTGTGTGTGTGTCTGTGTGTGTGTATATATATATAGGATAAACTGATTATCACTTGTTAATCCAGTTTTATACTTCCCTATGAATACTCATGCCAGTCCAGTATTCAGAGGAACCCCTTGACTGAGCCTTACTTTGTCCCTGATGTTAACCTTCCTTTCCTTATTTCAAGGCTGGAGAGCATCAAGTGATTATTTAGGTGATACAGAGTTCCCTTTCCACTCTAAATCTTTCGAGCCCTCCCACCACTTTTCTGTATCCTGTCCTAGTTCCAAACTGAAGTCTGCCTGGTTGGACAAGTTAAGCCTACACCCTTATGACTAAGATTAAACCCCTGGAATGTCTGATTACTCTTCATACCTCTGAAGAGCTAACATTGCCAAATGAGGGCATATATCTTTTCTTTTCCCCCTTTCCAGCACATTTGCCTGTAAGTACAGAATTCTAAAGATGGAAGAGGGCCATAAAGGATTATATAGTCCAACTTTTTTGTGTTCTGCAAAGGAAGATACTGACCAAAAAAAAACTAAAGTTATTTTTCCAGGATCGTATGGTGCTAGTCAATTAGAACCCAAGGCTCCCATTCCAGTGTTCTTTCAGTAATGTCACACTGCTCTGTATTGAAATGGGAGTAGAAAGGATTTTACACTTCTGTTTTGCTGACTCAAGGGGATCTATGCCTTGTGATGGGTCAGAGGGTGGTTCTGATCTGGTGGTGTCCTTGGATTTATACTAAACTGTTTCTTGCTCGTTCGTCTTATCAACAGTAGCGGGTACATGAACATGTTTTTGTTAGTTATGATCCTTGGTTAGGCAGTATGAAAGAATGTGCAGGTAGGAAAGGGGGCTTTTTTTGTGAAGGGTCCCTTAGAAATGGGGAATAGAGGCCATCAGAACTTTAGGGTCCCAACATGCCACACTTCCTTTGTAAAAACCACTTTTTAGGTGCTTTTCCTTCCCCTGAGACTTAATATTTCTGTTGTAGGAACTTGGCAAAATCCTTATGGGAAACCCCTGTGGTGCTCTGTGTTTAGAGAAAGTTAGTTGGTGACATGTGTTGCTCCCTTCTAAATGAGCTTTCATGTGATGTGACTTTCATATTCAAGTAAAACAAAAAGTATTTTCTGTGAGGCATGTTTCACTGAATGGGATTGGATAACTCACCTTTGTTTTTTCCTTTCCCCTCCCCCTTTTATTCTCTCTTCCTTCCAGCTATGCCCCCTGTGTCTTTTAGCACTGCTTTGGCACAGCCTGGACCTGTTCCTCCCCTCCCCCCTCCTCCCCTCTCTTCTTTTTCTACCATTCCCCAGCCCCTTTGTCCTTTGACTACACCTGACCCACCCTCCCCATTCTCTCTTCCTTCTGTAGCACCCTTTTCCCAAGCATCCCCTTTGGCAACCCTGCCTTTAGGGGCTGGTCCTCCCCAAGCTCCAGACACTTATACTTTGCCACCATCTTCCCCCATGGCTACACCAACCTTTCTCCCAGATCTTATAGGACCTCCCATCTCCCCAGCTGCCCTTGCTCTGGCTTCCCCTATGATTTCCCCGGCTCTGAAAGGTGCCCCTTCCTCTTCAGCTCCTTTGTCTCTGGTGGCCCTGGCCCCCTCCTCTGCTCAGAAGAGCTTGGATGCTTCACCCAATCCAGTGAACCCAACTACACCTGGGGCAATCACATCTCTGCTGACTCCTGCTAATGCTAGGTCTCCAATCCCGCAAGTGGCTTCCACCTCTGCCACAGTTACCCCTCAGGAATCTGCTGACCTGAAAGGCACTTCCACCCCTCCAGATGTAGTCACTGCTCTCCCACCACATCTTGGAATTCCTCTAGCCTCTGAGTCAAACACCATTCTCCAGACAGACCCTACCTTACCTATTTCAATCCAGACTGCTCCCATGGCCACCCCTTCTCCAATAACCATGGCTCCAAAAGCCCCTTCTGCTGCCTTCACTCCTCTTCTAGGACCTCCTCTCTCACATGCCGAACATATTGTTTCTCCCAACTCAGGAGCTGCAGCTCAGATAGGCTCTGATAATTTCTTAAAACCTAAAAGCCCTGCTCCAGTCACCATTCCTCTAGGTATCTCTTCCCCAGGGCCTTCAACCTCCTCTACAACCCTAGGATCCCCAGTAACTTTATTCCCAAAAGACCCTCTAGTTTCTCCTGTTGTGTCCAGTTCACCTGTAGGGAGCCCATTTTCCTTACTGATGCCACCTGTTCAGAAAGATCCCTCTGACATAATCATAGTCTCTAAATCGTCTTCTGGACCACCATTTGTTGCCACTTCTCCACCACTTACCCCTACTTACCCTTTGTCTCCACCTGTTCTATCTTTAGGACCCAAAGCTCCTCCCCTTGGGAGTCCATCCCTAAAAGGAACCCCTACTCCAGTTGTAGCAACCACACAAGTTGCCGTACTGGCTCCCCCTACTGTAACTGCTACTGTACCCATTTCTCTTGAGGGAGGCAGCTGTCCACTGGGTAGCCCTTTTATTCCTTCAGATTCAGCAGACTCCAAGCCCAAGAAGGATCATGCTGTTCTCCCCACAGCCTTACCCCTGTCCCCTGTAGTTCCCAAGGATCCTTCTGTTGTCCAGGTTTCGGCCCCTTCTCTTAAGACCCCTGTCTCTCCACCTCTGAGAGATCTCAAAGATTCTCAGGTTGTCCCTGTGTCTCCTTTTGGAGTCTCTTCTCCAATCCAAACAGATTCTCCAACCAAGAAAGTACCTATTACCTTACCTTTGGACCATGTGGCTCCCCAAAATCCCTCAACTTGTTCTTCGAAGTCCTCACCAGGTTCTCCATCTCCAGGAACCACTCCGGCAAAAAAAGATCTTGTGCAATCCCCTGTTCCTGCTGTAGTCCCCTCTCTGACAATACTAACTTCTCCAACCACAAATGCAGACAATTCTACTGTAGAGGTCTCCGGCACTTCAAAAGTCCCAAAAACCAAAATAGATCTTTCTACTTCCTCTCCTTTAGCCTCTCCTCTCATAGTCCCTGATAGCCCCCCCAGCTCTGTTAGTCTAGCCCTCAAAGGCTCCCCCACCACCCCAGCTGTACCCTCCTCTCCTCAGGGGCTCCTTTTCTCTGCAGCTCAGATGGACTGCCCAACAAAGAAAAATCCTGCTACTCCACTCATTCCTTCCCCTGTAGCTCCCAAAGAAATCACCAGTACTCCAGCTGCAACTCTCTCCCCTCTGGAGTTTGCTCTCTCTTCTGCATCTCCTAAAGGCCATGGGGCTGAAAAGGGTCCTATGTCTCCTGAAAGTCCCCATATTCCCTCAACTGTAGCTATTTCTCCTTTGGGGGCTTCTGTCACTCCCCAAATTCCAGAAGTGCTCCCAGATGAGGCAAGCTCTGCTACAATCCCTGCTTCGTTAACTCCAGCTTCTATTACTCCCCAAAGTGCACCAGTTGCATCTGTTTTGCCTGATACTACAACTGCATCCCCCAAAGAGACTTCTGATTCCCCAGGAGTAGCCACCTCTCCTTTAGAAGCCACTGTCATTCCTAACAGATCCCCCCTTGCTTTTGATCTGGCCTCAGCCACTCCATGTCCTAAAGGGTCACCTACATCCCCACTTGTGACTCCACCCCACAAAGGGGGCCCTACTCCACCATCCTCCAAAAGGGCCTCCACTACTTCACCAGCTCTGCCTCCTTCAGCCCCTAAAGAGGCCCCCACTACTCCAGCTGTGCCTTCTCCAACCACCAAAGGAGCCCCCACTTCTCCAACAGCTGCAGCTCCACTTTCCCTCAACAGGGCCCCCACTACTCCACCAGCTGCAATGCCACCATCCCCCAAAAAAGCCCTCACTCCACCAGTTATGTCTCCAGCCCCCAAAGAGGTCCCAGTTGCAATGCCTCCAGCCCCCAAAGAAGTCCCCACTGTCCTGTCAGCTGCAGTCCCACCATCCCCCAAAGGGGCCCCCACTATACCAGTTATGTCTCCAGCCCCCAAAGAGGCCCCTGGTCCAGCTATGCCTTCTCCATCCTCCAAAGAGGCCCCCAGTACTCCACCAGTTGTTCCTTCATCTCCCAAAGGGGCCCCCACTCCAGCTATAACTACCTCTCCTTTGGAGGCCACTGTCTCTCCTCAAGTTCCTAAAGGACCCCCAGCCAAGAAGGGCTCTGCTACTTCTCTGTCCCCCAAAGTCACTTCTGATTCCTCACCTTTGGAGGCCCCTGTCTCTCCTCAGTCTCCTAAAGGGCCCCCAGCCAAGAAGGGCTCTGCTACTTCCCCTGCAGCAGCTAAA